GGCGCTAACTTGCGCCGCTCCTCGTTGGATGCTTCAGTAACGCGAGAAGTCCCCAAACTTGGGATGGCCGCATCACAAGGGCCAAGGCATCCCTCCCTCCCCAACCTCTTCATTCCAAGTACTATAGCGCAGGCATGCGCGGCCTATGATCCCAATATCTTCTGGCTCCCGGGCGGCGGTGGGCGAACGGGAGGGACGGAGGACGCGCGGCGTAGTGCATCGGCGATGTGAAGACGATGGGGAACGTGTGGAGTGCGCCCCTGGAGCTCGTCAATCCAACCTATAGAGGCCACCGGCCGACCCCACGCCCAAAGCCGGAGAAGAAGAAACTCCAGGACCCTGAGATGACCGTCCAGACGACCTGGGAGCGCCGAGCGGGTGCCGTTGTAGAGGGTCTGCAGAGTGCTCTTCAGCTTAGGAGTTTGAGAGAGAGACGATCATCCCAACGTTCGTGTCAGCTTCTTTATTTCTGTGAAGGTTATTTGACGACTGTGCCTAGTCTTCTCGCGACGATGTCTGAAAATCTGCCTACCACGATGAAGACAATCCTCCCGCCATCTACGAACGCTAATTACGTCCTTCTGGATCTCGTTGTCAGAGGTGATGGGACTATCCTACTTCATGCGTTCACACCCCTCGGCATATTCACGTTCACGGCCGAGTGTGCTCCACGGATCTTCACGTCATTGCGCAGCAGCCAGACGAAAAGGCGAAGGATGAGGGAGTGATTGCGAACGAGGGCGAGGTCTTGTTAGCGCCATATACGGAGCGTCACATTGGTCGCCGAGTACGGGCGTAGGCTGGTCTGGGAATTCGGGGGTGGTGAGATTTGGGACGGGCTTGAATACCTGTATATGCATATTGACAAGAGATGACGAGGCTTACAATTATCTGCCCAAGAGAATGATACTTGTACGAATCTCTTGTTTTGCCCAAGGACTCAGAAAATGCTACAGTGGTCTACGATCCTGCCCTTCATATATAATTCGTGACATGGCAGAGAGGGAAAGAACTTGCGAGATAAGACTATTAGGACGTTGACAGGATAGGTGTTAGATGTAGAACCGGAACATACAGCATACAGTACGTAGCAGTGATGTCCGACTCGGCTATCCCATGGTACAACACTCCCCACCCCCAGGCTCATCATACTTCTCGATGATCATGAGCATTTCCTGCATTGACAAGAGCAAGGTCCCCATGTGCGCACATGCCGAGTTACATCGCCGCGAGGCATAGCAAGATCGATGGTCCACGGTGGACACCTGGCTACCCTCGATCTTCTCCTAAGATCTCCTAAGCAGCTCAATATCTCGCTTGGCAGCCATTCAGTGCCAGGAGGAATCGGATACAGTCGCGATGGTGTTATATAGCCTGAGTGCGGCAGTGGGCTATCATCCGGGCCTTCTGCAGGGTGGGCTTGTGAGCTGCTGGATCGTTTAGACTGGCTAGGCCGGATGATCGGCCATCGGCATGCATCGCGAACTTTGCGATGGTGGGATCGCCGTCTGGTTGGATGGTATTTCTGGATCCGATCAGGGTGAGGATACTAGTCATCGGCGAGCGAGTAAGGCGTACGGGGTTTTTTTTGGGAGCCTTCTTGCGTTTTAGAAGACGTGGAGGTGATGACGCGCTGGATGATGAGAGTGAACGCGAAGACATCGAGGTTAATTCAGCCTTGAGGCCTTCAGGTGTTGAGAAGGTCCTTGATTATAATATCACGTTAAACACAGGCTTGCCTAATATCGAAGTGTGTCGGAGTCTTCGATAGGTTGAAGTAGTCGTGCAAATTACATTAAGTTCACGGATGAGAACCGAAAGGGTTGCCAGTGGCCTGAGATTATGAAAGACTGGGTAAAAACCCGCTTGACATTCTGACCACGAAAAGGCGCCGGGAAACCTGGCAGGAAACAGGGGTTGGGGGCCCGGGGGAGCCTGGATGTCGGCAGTGTGTACAGGTCGGGCTTGAGTCCAACAACAGGAACATATCGATTCAGGAAACGCGAGGTATATCTCACGATACAGAAATACATCTGCAGTAATGAGCCGCCAGCTAATCCGTGGACCGCAGCCATCGACCAACGGCTTTTTACTCCCGCACAAAAGCCATGCCCGACGTAATGATACGCAGCGCCCACGGAGACGGGAATCCCTGTGATATGACGGGGAAGTTAGTGCGAGGTTCTAATGGGGACACACACGAACGACTCACCATGGACGCCTGTCGTTCCTCGCAAAGTTTGTCGTCATCGGACCCTCCCCGCTTCCGTCCTCTTTTCCTCCCGACCCCTCATCAAACGATGGACTGAGATGGTGGCGAGGGGCGGGTGCGGGATGAACACCGAACTCGATGAAGCTCGCGGCTAATCAAAGATGCGGCTCGGGAATGTTAGCCGAGAGGTACAAGTTTTTTCACGGCGTCGGCGGCTTTGTGTATGGCGGCGGCACGATCGGGACCAGTGGCGGAGAATGTGAAGGCCAAACGGGAGGAGCAAGCGGCGTGAAGGATCTTGGGAGCGATGAAAGGTTGCGGGCTCGGCGTGAGAAAGGGCCGTTCTTAAGGGTAGCATGCAGCACTGTCTAGTCGACGGGGACGGGCTCGTCGTAGAGCTGCTACTATACTCGGTGCTGACGCCGCGGCGACGACCCCGAGCAGCCCGGGTGCCGGTGCTGGCCCATTGCTGGTATGCGCTCTTAGACGTGCAAGATACTGAGGCGAGTGCGGGAGATATGCAGGAGGGAGGGGGAGTGGGATGCAGCGGTGGTGGATTCTCGAGGGATAACGAGGGTGCACCTGTGAAGCAAAGGTCAGTATGGATAAAAGTGGTAGTGCGGGGAAACGTACCTCAACGACTAGCACCACTCAGTACGCGGGTGTTCCTATCCTCTCGAGACCTTCTGAGGACCCATCAATTGCTAGCGCGGCTCAGCAACGGCAATTTTGGTGGAGATTTTGAGGCGGGGGTTTGAATTCGTGAAATTGGACCGGTCGACAAAGTTCTACGAGGTACCCAGTCGGTGTGGAGGCGGATGTGCCATTGCTCCAGTAACGGTTGATCCAACAACCAAGGATGACTGCGGCATCGCGCGAAGCGCAGAGTGTCACAGGATGATTGAGGAAGAATTCGTGTGGAGGGAGGACAAGGCAGAGAAGGGACGGGGCTTCTGATCGAGAGGAATCGTCAAGTTCTTGGTATCGCAGTGAGCAGCGTGGATGCTGGACCGAAACAGAGGGGGTTGGACGAGAGGGTGTTCTGTCTCGTCGTGTGGGAAGTTGAGAGGGGTCGTCGTGGTCGAAGTGATCGTCGTGATCAAATTTTGATCACAACTTGCTCTTGACCTTCATCTTCATCGATGCTTCATCGCCAGGTGCATCGCGTCAGCAGCTCAATGTGAACTCAGGCGAAAGTCGTCATGTGCATCGTGCATATTTAGTTTCTCCGACCTCTACACCTCTACCTCAATTGTATCCCCGGAGAACCGGCACCGGCACTGGATGCGGCACAACCCGAGAGGCCCCCACCGGAGAGCAAGCGCACGGTCCCCAGGCCCCTCACTGGGACCGAACACCCACAGCTGAAATATGTTCCATGGCTCAGAGGAGACGGTCCTCGCGTACCATGGCGTCACTATCTGCCCTCAGGCTCTTTCGTTCCGGGTCCCCTCAAGTTTCGCCCCATGAATCGTTCATGAGGAGCTGAGCTTTGATTCTAGGTACAAATTCAAGTTTCAATGGGGTGTTAAAAGGTGGAACTGTCTATCACAGGGAGAACACATGACCGTGAGTTGGTTCGAGAGATAGAAAACGGCTGTATGGCCATTGGGACGTCGGCTGTTCGCTGTCGTATAGAACATGTAGAGAACGTCCACCCTATGTGGCGCTGAGGAATCGAGTAAGGCTCAAGAATGAATACTTATGTCTTTCATAAGCTCTATCCGCGAGAATAAACAACTCCAGGACGACAGTGGATACTCTCCTGTTCGATTCCACAGATGAAGGCGAGATTTTCGAATGCCGATAAGCTGTGTACTTGTCATCATGTCTCCCACAGTAAGAGGAGCTGCAGAGTCAGCATCTTCTTTCGTGAATGGGGCGTTCTTGTATGCTCCAATGGTAAGTAGGACTCTCAAGCTGTGCGGTGTGTCATAAATACTAGAGTTGTGGTATAGCATTTCCCACAAAGCAATTATTACGTGCCGGTATCCTCGAAACGACAATGAGCCTTATTCCATCGAAGTGGCAATCAGATCCGGAGTCTAGGACAATTTTTATGGAAATCAACGGGTTTCCTCAGCAGAGAGTGGTGATGTCTGATTCCTTGTCGCAACGCGTGCCAGTGGAAGCCAGTTCGGCCATTCCTGAACTTTTTCGACAGTGATAATTTCCACTGCAAATTCACACCAGATACACTGGTTTTTCTGCATATGTAATGGGGACTTAGCACAGTGGTAGCGCGCATGCTTTGCACGTCGCTTACGAGTGAATGTCTGCATGAGGTCGTGGGTTCAAGCCCCACAGTCTCCATTCCTTTTCCCGCCTTGTTTTTAAAACAGCTTGGGGATATGGAAATTCAGCTATTCTCACCGGCTTGTGAGGAAAAGGAGGTGTATCGATTTGTGTTCACATACTAATAGCCTTGATGCTCACCCAAGCATCTCGGCCGCTGTTTTTAGCATTGCTTCCTAGTTTTAAGGAGATGTTCCATGAGCACTATTATTGATAAAACTGCCTCTCTATAATATACCATCCTCGAATAATATCTACTCCATTAGGCCGGGGCTCACCACCACATCATTGTGATCAGCACGAATTCGCAGGATATCAGCCCTTTGCAGATTTGCTTCATTGCACAAGGAGCGAAAGATAGACTCCTCGTTGTCGTATAAGTTCAGGACTGTGTCAAACTCTGCAACTTCTCCGGCATCCATGACAAGGACGCGGTCGTAATAGGCTATCGAAATTCTCTGAATTAGTATCAGGTAAACATTGACAGGCATCTATCTCCTTACCGATAGTGTTGAGCCGGTGAGCGATGCATAGTAGCGTGGACGTCGCAAACTCTCTTTGAATGGTCTTCTGTAATTTTGCATCAGTCTCGACATCCACGCTGCTAGTGGCTTCGTCCTGTGCGCGTGTGTTAATGGGACAAAATCTCAAAGCGATGTGTAACTTACCAAGATAATAATACGGCTGTTCTTCACAAGCGCACGGCATAAAGCAAGAAGCTGCTTTTCACCGACACTAAAGTTGGATCCTTGATAGACGTGAGCTTGTTGTCTCAACAACATATCAAATTGTTCAACAAACCTTCGTCGCCGACAGTTGAGTCAAGGCTGAATTTCGCCTCTGCAATCGGGTCCGAGGTTCCATCGCTAGGGAGTAGCCATGCCCGCTGGAGCACAGATATCAGTTCGGCATCTGTTCTCGAACCTTGTGGGTCACTGGAATACGGGTAACTCGTCAGTCAAAACATCGTCAAATAGGGTTATTTGTGACTTGCAGATTCTCCCGTAGTGTACCGAGGAAGAGTGTGCTATCTTGTGGGACGAGTGCTAGGCGACCCCGAAGAGTATCAAGGCCCACAGAGCTGATGTTTTGTCCGTCGATCTCGATCTTCCCGCTTTCTAGCTCGACCGTCCTGAATCACAAAGTTAATCGATTGAAAGTATGATTCAAGTAGGTTGTTCACCTGAAGAGCGCTTGCAACAAGGAACTTTTGCCTAGTTCATGTTCTGTGTTCAGGAATGAACAGAAGTCGGGCACAACAAAGACTTACCTGCGCCTGTGCGTCCCACGATACCAACCTAGGAAACGTTTAGCCTTCTAGTGAGTTGAACGTTGGACCATAAGCGTACCTTTTCACCTGGTTTGACATCAAAGCTTACGCCCTTCAGAACAAGAGGCAGCCCTTTCCGATAGGCAAACTCGACGTTGTCAAAAGAGACACGCCCTTGACTTGGCCATGACGCCGGCGGGTCGTCAGGAGAAGTGGCATCTCCCTCGGATTCAAGCCCAGCGTAATGTAGTACGCGCTCTACAGCATTCATATTTTGCTCGTTCTGTGCGAACTGAGAAATCATGTCGGCTAGGTCATACAATAAGTGAGATTCAAAAAGGTTCAGATACTGAAGGAACTCACAAAAGATCTGGGTGACTGTAGGTAGGCCTTGAGAAGTTTCATCACTTGTATATGGCAAGGACACGTACTGCTCAGGGTATATGACAAGACGACGCCAATTTTAGATGGATCGACCGTATTGCGGAGCCCAGCCGCGAAGAGTGCGATGCCCAGGATGAGTATGTTTCCGAGCACATCAAGCCGAATGGTCAACCAACGCTGAATAGAGATGGTCATATAGTATGCTCGGTTCTCTAAGTCCAGTCCGATGTTGGCGTTGTTGATCGCTCCTTCCTGTAGATGTTAAATGAGTACAACAAAGGGAACGAGTGGTGGCCGCGCAATGTTTACCTGTGCTCTGTACGCACGAATAGTGGAAAGGCCAGTCAGTGTCTCTGAGTGAGACTGTCAGAAATTCCAAAACATGGAAAGATTTATTGGACATACCTGAAAAAGACCCATAAAGTGTCGATCTCATTAATGAGTCCAAACGTTTGGTTTCTACCGATGTACTGCGGTAGTAGACCGATATCATCCAGTACAGCACGGCCATCGGGGCAAAAATAATGCCAAGGTAAGGAAACGTGTAGAAAACCAAAGCCACTGTTCCAAGGACTGAGCTGAATGTGGTCAAAAACTTGAATCCTATCAGATCATTTGTATCATGCGGATAGACAGGCTAGGGCTGTACCTGCCATAGAGTGCTCGCAAGTTCTGTATCAAGGGTATCTTGATCTTTGGAAAGCCTTGAAAGTATTCTTCCTATACGACAGGAATATTAGTGAACCTACGGCAGCAGGGATAAATACTGTTTACACATACCAATCGGGGTGGTATCAAAGAACGAAATGGGGGAGCGCACGACACTGGTCAAAGCCGCCTTGAAAAGGTTCAAGCTCGCGATCAAACTAGCGAAACTAGAAAGAACTTGAGTGCGCTCCCCGCTCAATAACAAGGGTTACTTACGCAAACGCAAAACTAAGGAGAAATGCAAAGATCGCCTGAGCAATACCTACATTCTATATTCAGTGTGTATTACAGCTACCAAAGATCGGAAACGTACCGATGCCGGCATAAACAGCCATGTAGTCGGCCTGCCGGAAGCCATGGATACTTTCCACAGTCCAAAACCCAAGGAATATATTATTGGCAACTACAGGCTCACCAATTAAATGCCGAGCATATAGTTAAGATATTTAACTGACCTTGTGAGCCCTGTGATAGCGCTAACAAGAGGATGATGATGGGGGCCCAGACGATGCCACCAGCGTAACGCAGGTAGTTCCCGTACACCTTCCATTCCACAGAACCCGTGTTACGTTCTTCAGCTTGCATGAGCGTCGCATCAGGTTTCTTGCCGTCTTGATCATCGGCGGCGTCCTGTGCGCCTGCTTTAGTCTCCTTTGTAGTATCATTGTCGTCGTCCGAATCTTGATCAAGATTTCCGTACTCGTCCATGAGGCGAGAAAACAGGACACTGTCACTCATCAGGGCCTACAATTGACTCAGATTCAAAATCCCTAAATCGATTAGCATGGGACCCACGTCGTATGTTCCTTGTTCGGCGATGACCCCGTTATCCATCACATAGATGTAGTCAGTTTTATCGAGGACATGTAATGAATGGGTGACCAGGATTCGGGTACGGTTTGCAAGCGGTCCGTTCAAAAGACACTGATCGAGGATTGATCGACCAACGTATGCGTCGACAGCAGCGAGGGGGTCGTCGAGGAGAACAACATCGGATTGCGAATATGCGGCTCGCGCCAGAGAGACTCGGGCCTATACCAAGGTTAGTGTTGAGGCACAACAATCGTTATAAATCTACCTTCTGGCCACCTGCATTGCTATGAGCAGTTATCAAAGTGCAGGTTGGGCATTCACGTACCGCTCAAATTGATACCTTTCTCTCCTATTTCAGTATTCTCACCGTGAGGAAGCATGTCAAGATCATGCTCCAAGTTACACGCTCGGATGATATCTCGGAATCTGAGATCAGGCGAGTGAGTGTTGAGCTCATGATACCATATCTTACCCACCTTTTCTCGTCATCTTTCTGTCCAAACAACACGTTGTCCCGTAACGTCGCATTTCGAATCCACGCCGTCTGAGGCACGTACGCGGCACTGCCGCCAAATAGTACCTACGTAGGACATAAGTTGGGAAGCCAACAAAAGTCATTGGTGTGCTTACCTCGCCTTTTGTCTTTCTCATCTCCCCAATCATAGCTTGCAGTACGGAGCTCTACGACGAAATCAGCTCAACAACAGAAAAGCTTCATCGCGATAGAAACCTACCTTTCCTGATCCTACTCTACCTACAATCGCCACGAAGGAACCTTTCGGCACACTGAACTTCAAATCCTTTAGCTCAAACGGCTTCTCATCCTCCTTCGATCCTTCTGCAGTACTGGCCCTCGCAGAGTCCACGGTGGTTGGTAGCACCGGGTCTGTCTTCTTCTCCTTCTTTCCTTTTTTCCTATTTTTGCCCCCAAGACCAAACTTGTCTCCGTCGAGCTTCCCGGCCGTCTCCCAGGTGAAGTCGGCGTTGACCGATACGGCGGCCTTCTGTTCGTCGTCAATGAGGTAAGGCTCCGCTAGCTCTTCGGCGAGGAGAAACTTGGATATACGCCTCAATGCCACAAGCGAGTCTGTGAGGCTTGACAGCACGAAGGGGAAGTAGATGAGGGGCGCTCGGATGACCTAGATGTTTCGGGAAACGTTACCACTGTATACTCGGAAGGATGGCTTGTGGGAGGACGTACATTAAAAAGCTGGAGCGACGCGAAGATGACGGCGACGTTGAGATCGTGGCCGCTAAGTCCGTATGTAATCTGCGCACGACGTCAGTCCCCATTTTGTTTATAGGTGATTCAGGTGGGCGCACGAATGATAGGATCGACGCGAGGATTGGGATGAAAGTGACCAAGGCAATCAAAACCGAGCGGGCGAGCCTGGAAAAGTTGGATGCAGTTAGACAAGGCGGTACCGAACGAAGAACGATGAGAGACATACTGAAAGTTCCTGACAGTTTTAATTTCCTGGGCCCTGATTGTTCCCAGTCTATCAATGTAGAACGACTCCCATGCATAGAACTTGATCAGTCTGATGCCTTGCATCACCTAAGTAAGTATAAAATGGTCGGTCAATACACGTCCAAGGCCCCAAATGACGACCTACCTCGGTCGTGAGCCTGATGCGCTTGTCGGTGATCTTGACGCCTTTTTTGCGCTGTGCGAACAGGACTTTGACAAGGACAAATTGGAGGGGGAATCCGAGAAGAAGAACCTGTATGGGGTAAGCCCAAATGTGCCGCATGCGAAGTCTTCGCACATACCCCAAGTCCGACAAGGGCTGAATAGCCCAACTGCGGCGGCACGCGTTAGGATTGCGAACAGATTGGCAGG